AACGTGACTTAACCGTGACCACGTAGAATAAAAAGTGATGAAAAAGACAAGGGCAGACAATCTAAGTCTCATAGATATAGGCCAGCCGACCTTATTGTAATTGTCGAGGAACTGTAGCACAACTTTATATTATCTATGAGACTACGACGTTTCGTCGGACTCATTATTAGAGTGGAAAGAAAAAAAAAATGCAAATGGAACAAAGAATACTGCTTCAATCCTTGCCGATTAAAAATCATTTATTTTTATAGTTAGATATTTATGTTTACGTATAAATTACAAGACGTCATCATACGTGGGATGCACTATTGAGTCACATGATTGGAGGGCCACGTAAAGTCAGATGGGATCAAAATAAATAGCCTTATACTTGTATATGAGACGTGGTTGGAGAGAGACCTAATCAAATTATTGTAACGTGCCTCTTTTAATACAACGATATGAGGAAGCGATACTTAAACTGATTTCCACATTAATTCAGTTGCAAATAAATCAAACTTGTTATTTACGTGAGTTTAACGGCATGACGTTCCAAATACTTTCCAACAAAAAGGTAGACTACACTACACCGTGAAATTACGGGACAACGTAATCTGAACGGCAGCGTCTTGAAACACACACAGAGATCCTACAGAGACAGTGAATACCCGCACGTTCCCGGCTCAGGTAAAACCGCATAGCGCCACGTGTCAAATCATTTTGGTCGCGGGTCCCGCCCCCACCACCCACCTGTGGCCGCTATAAACTTAGAGATGCCTTTACGCTGCCTCAAACTGCCGTCGCTCGCTGCCTCCCTCCCACCTTTGTCCTTCCTTTTATTTGACTCTGCCCGCCATTAAAGCTTCCGCCTCAACCTTTTGCTTCCAACTACCAACAAACGAACGATAGCTCCTTCCAGCTCACTTTCTCTCTCTCTCTCTCTCTATAATTATGTTATGGTGAATTGGCGACGCTTGTTTTGTTGACCTCTGAGCAGGAGAGAGAGGGGGAGGGAGGGGGATTATGGGGGCGTGCGTGTCGAAGCCGGAGGGGTGCGTCGGAGGGAGACTGAGCTCGTCGAAGCGGAAGAGGATCCGGAAGAGGAGGAGAGACGGGCAGGCTAAACAGTCTCCGGGTCGGGCCGGTCGGTTGTCGGAGGGATCGCCGGAAAAGTTTGATCGGTCTGCCCCGCCTGATCGCTCCACCTTCAACAACCCCACTTTCCAAGGTCCATTTTTTCATCTCTCTCTAGAATGCTCTGTTATTAGAAGCTGTAAAATGATGAAATTTTGGAGCTTTTTGTTTGGAACTGAGTTATTTTCTGGAATTTAGTTCTGGGATTTTCTTGTTTGGCTGAATTGTATTTATGGGAAAATTTGCGCTTTCTTGAGAGTAATTTTCTTGATAATTAAAATAATGTGAGTAATTAAGATACTAATTAAGAACATCATAATTGAGATAGAGCAATTGACCGCAGAACTAGCTATAATTTTCTTTGAGAACCACCAATTTTAATTTAAGCTATGATTTTCTGGAAAACGTAGAGTCTTTATGTGAATCCGTCTCCGAAAATCTGTCTCGGAGCTGGTTGATGCTTGATATGCAGCAAGAAGCAATTGCTTGTGCATTTGTTGCTGCTGAAAATTGTGTTGTCTTTGTTTTTTAGTGATAAACTAGTCAGGGTTTTGGTGGCATTTTTGTTTTTTCTAAACATTGTAATTCTCAAATTGCATTGTACTGTAATTTCCTCTATGTCCATAGTTTCTGATTATCGTTAAAAATATGATGGCATCCGCAGAAAGTAGTGAAGACGCATGGTTTGATCCGGTTGCAATATTTGAGTTCGAAGAATGCGATGAAGATTTCCATAGTGTTCAGGATGGTAAAGTTTTACTTTTACTGATGTCTAATTTCAGTCATATTGTATTGTTTTTCAATTTTTTTCTTAATTTGATGTCTTTAGGTTTGAATTACTAAAATATCTTTATTTGCAGAGGTGTTATCTCTGAATGGATTTGAACGCGTATCAGTATCAAGCAATTCGTCAGTAAGAGATGCCAATTGTGAACAGTATAATGTTAATGACCTGCATGCCTCCTCTACTGATCAGATACATAAACCAGGGGATTCTGCAAACAACCCTGTCAGTGTGGTTTCTCAAAAGAGCAATAATCATATCACGAATGCTAATGACGTTGATGGACATTCGACAACTGAAGCAAATCAACCTGTGTTCCTCGATGAAATCTCCACCTCTGTCGATGAATCTTCTCCCAAGGAGGAAGGAATATTGGACAATTGTGGGATTCTTCCAAGCACCTGTCTGCCTTTTCTTGCTTCAACCGTTCCCCCTGTTGAAAAGAGAAGGTCACTGAGTTCTAGCCCACCAAGTGCAAGGAAAAAATCTGCCATAAAACTTCCCTTTAAATGGAAAGAAGGACATCCCAATGCAAGTTTATGTAAGAACTAGAACTATCTTTTGATGAGCTAATATGACATGCAAATGGTGAACACGCATGGGATTCATTTCTTTGCCATCATTATTATTTTGAGTGTGCATTTTCTTTAGTCTTTAGCCGCAGCCTTGTTATTCATGAAACCTGTCCTCGCGCCGCTTATTCCTTTAAGATTTACTGTCCTCTACAGCAACCATATAATCTTGTAGTAAATTTTCGTTATTCTCATCATACTTTGTTGAGTAGTATCTCTTTTGGTTATTCCCTAAATTGGTCGTAGATTGTTCGTTAAGTAAATGTTATATTGTTTGATGGTAGTTCTTAGCGTTCATACATTGTAAGCATTCCGACTCTTTAGTCTAGTGTAAACATATCCAATTGTAATTCCTTTAACCTTTTGTTTTTTATGCATATTTCCAGTTTCCTCAAAGATGCTTCTGCAAAGACCAATAGCAGGTTCTCAAGTTCCCTTTTGCCCTATAGATAAGAAAATGTTTGATTCCTGGTCACATATTGAGCCAAATTCTTTCAAAGTTCGGGGGCCGAATTACTTTAGGTAAGATTCGCGGAGTAAAGTGTTCATTTAGTTTAAGAACTTGTACATGTACATATGTACATTCATATAGGGCTACATTTACACTTTTTTATATTAAAATAATCACTAGTAAAGTATTGATCGTCATTGGCATCCATTAACATATAAGATTCACCATATTCAAAATTTGAGATTTACCTGTGTAGATCTTTGTTGCCAAGCTACTTTTCCAATTGACCTTTGAATTTGATCTTCTTTATTGCAGGGACAGAAAGAAGGAACATGCTCCCAGCTATGCTGCATATTATCCATTTGGTCTTGACGTATTTTTATCTCAGCGAAAAATAGATCATATAGCTCGCTTTGTGGAACTGCCTGTTGTTAATTCTTCTGGAGATCTTCCCACTGTTCTTGTTGTAAATGTACAGGTAAGTTTGATCTCTCTCTCCTTCTCTCCCCGCCTCTCTCCTTTTTTATTGCTTTCTGTATGCATAGTTGTCCATCTTTAAATTTGTCAGGTAATATAATTTTTAAGCACCTACGACAACTGAACTCCTTGTGCGGATTTAGACTATCCAGCTCGGATTCAGAATATAAGTTGAATAATAACTAATAAGCTGTAACGGTTGAGGACTTGTACCCTGCCACCTGTGACAAGAATTTTCAGGCTAGGTTCCAACTTTAACGAAGGTCGTTGGCCACACAATGCACCTTGCTTGTTTACCTCCAATTGAGTTCAAGATGAGTAGTTAGTTTAGATACCTTCTGGCTAGTTAAGGAGATTCAGTTGGTTTTGCTTTCTAGATATGTGTAAAACTTATTCTGATGTTTAATAATGTCCTTTTCATTGATTCTACAGGTACCCTTGTATCCTGCTGCAATTTTTCAGGGTGAGACGGATGGAGAAGGAATGAATTTTGTTTTGTACTTTAAGGTTAACGATATGCACGCTAAAGAACTTCCACCTAATTTTCAAGAAAATATCAGAGTAAGATGGAGCCTTTTGTAGTTTTCGTTGTACTCCCATTTCATACTGAACCTTTTTTCTCAGTAAACATCGTTTCCATCAGAGATGATGCTGGGCAAGTCATCCCAGCACAATGCGTATAATTTTTTTTAATTCATGCCCATGCCTATTTTCATGCAGAGGTTAATTGACGATGAAGTAGAAAAGGTCAAAGGTTTTCCTGTGGACTCAATTGCACCCTTTCGAGAAAGGTTGAAGATTTTGGGACGTGTTGCTAATGTGGAAGATCTTCACTTGAGTGCACCAGAGCGGAAGCTTATGCAGGCTTACAATGAAAAGCCGGTTCTTTCACGTCCTCAACATGAATTTTACACGGTGAGCGTGTTTGGGTTACTTTAATTTTTTTACCTCAGTTTTCCAATTCGCCTTCGGTTTTATGGTTTCTTAAGGTTTGTTTTCTTGCTAACCGTAATGGATTTCAGGGAGAAAACTACCTCGAGATTGATTTGGATATGCACAGATTTAGTTATATCTCTAGGAAAGGGTTTGAAGCGTTCCTAGATAGACTAAAGCACTGCATTTTGGACGTCGGGCTCACGATTCAGGTAATTTTCCCTGCAGCAAGTTAAACTTCTATTATCAATCCCTTAATTCTTTTTTCTTTTGCTGCCCTTTTGGAGTTGTTCATCTATATCTTATATTTGCATTTTGAAATAGGGAAACAAACCCGAAGAGTTGCCGGAGCAGATCTTATGTTGTATACGATTAAACGGAATTGACTACATGAACTACCACCAACTAGGGTTGATCCAAGATCCCCCTTGACACCCTGTAAATGATGGGACAATGTAAATCTCGTATTTAACCATTAATACAGTTCAAATTCAAGAAGAAATTGTGTCATATTTTGTGTAGTTTTATAGACTCAGAATCTCCAGTGAACTGAGGCAACAACCATCCTTCAGTTTTCTAACTACTTAAATGCAGATGCTTAATATTTAACGGACCATAAACCTGAGCATGTACGAAAGAAAAGTTATTTAGCTACGTAGATAGGAGGGCTTCAAGTGTTCTTACAGGGAGGGAGAGGCTTTCCACATAAGCCTTTGTTTCCGGAGTAGGAGCTTTTCGGGAAGTCACTGAATGGTTTGCCTTCCGGGATTTTCCCCTCCAGAAGATTGTCCGATACATCAAATTTCCACAAATCCTTCAGCTTCATAAACTTGTTTGGAATTTTTCCGGAAAACTGGTTTTGCTGCAGCTCGAGCTTGGTCAGCTTGGTCAGATTTCCCAACGCCTCTGGTAAGTTGGAAGATAATTTGTTGGCGTGAAGGTCAAGCCATATCAACCTTTTCAAATTTCCAATTGACTGGGGGATGTTTGAAACGAGTGTGTTCTTGTATAGGTTCAATGAGAAGAGCATTTGAAAGTTTTCATCTCCAAAGCGTGTAGGAATGCTTCCGGTGAGATTGTTGGCTGATAAGTCCAATTCTTGTATTGCACTTGGAAAGAGCTCTGGAATTTCTCCCTGGATTTCGCACCCCGCCAAGAAATTCCGAAGAAGTGACGGCAACTCTGGGAGCCATTTTGGGACGGCAGATAGCCTCAATGGGTTGAAAGAAACATCGAGTGTTTCGAGATGTTTAAGAGAAGACATCTCAGAAGGGAGTGGTCCTTCAATCATATTCCGAGCGAGGAGAGGTGTGCAAGCAGTAGGAGTTGGCCAATGAATTTTGGAATTTTTCCAGTAAGGGCTGGTTTGGTGTTGTTGTGCTTTGAAAAAAAACTGATTCTGCTGAGCTGTGAGAATAAACTCATTTTTGCTGCTTCACGTTTTCAATTTTTTTTTCACTCAAAACTATGAAAATAAGCTGTTTTTAAATGTTTACCAGATACCTTTTTGAACTCAACTTTTTTTTATATCCACTTTTTATAAAAGCAACCTCAGTATCAAAACCATTACTAAGACTAGTATCCTGCAGCCTTATAAGCCTGAGATGAGACATTTTCGGAGAGATCGACAGAAATGTAATTGGCCCCTCAAGAAAATTAGAGTCCAACCCTAGATTTCTAATGGCAGACAGATTAGCCATGGAAGAGGGAAGTTTACCAGACAAAAAATTGTTTGAAAAATCAAGGTCTTGCAAGACTTGCAATTGACCAATTCCCTGTGGTATGTGACCACTCAGAGAGTTGTTATGAAAATCCAAACTTACTAAACGTGTCAAGCTTGCAATTGAATCAGGCATAGGTCCATAGAAACTGTTTGAATAGAGGTAAAGCCTTTGGAGTTTCGGAAGGATGAGTTCTGGGATGTTTCCGGTGAGGTCAGAGTTCTCACCAAGATTCAGGACTTCAAGGAATGAAATGAGATTTATTGAAGGATAGAGAGTGCCTACCATACGGGCGAGGAAAGGTTCATCATCTTTTGTGATCCAGGCTGGAAGGCTGATTCCAATCACTCTGCCGGTCCTGTTTTCACAAGTAATGCCTTGCCACTCGCAGCAACCGCCGCCAACCCCCACATCGCTAGGCGGCCGGAGGTGTCGATGGGAATCCCAGCCTTGAAATTGCTTAGGCCTTTGAGGTCGTTGGGTTGCATGCTTGGTTGGGGGTTGTGTTTCCCTCTCCAAGTGCAGAAAGGGTGATGAGTAGTACAACCCAAAGAAACTTCATCAGTATTTCTGTTTGCTTAATTGATTTGGGATTTTAGGAGAATGCGTGTTCAGCTTGTATGTTAGGGCTTAATATTTATATGCACCGTCTGACTAGTGCATGGTAGTGCATGGTAATCATCTGCATGGTAGTGCATGGTACTGAGGTGATTTTTTCAAAAGTGGGCATCAATCAAAAAAAGTTGGAAGGGTTTTTGGTGGTTGGTAAACAATCCAAACCAGCTTTATTTCAAAGTTTTAGATGAAAAAAAGCTAAAAATCGAAAGCTGCAAAAAGCAGCTTATTGTGAAAATGACGGAGCTACAATAATTTTAGTAATGAATTTTTTAATTTGCCAATATTGCCCTCCCGTCTCCAACGCCTCGTCGTCTCCAAGCATGCGCCTCCGCAACTCCAACTGGGTTTGTGAGATTAGATCCAAGCATGCGCCTTCAACTGGGACTTCATCAGAATGCGAACTGGGTTTGAGAGATTCAGATTCGTGGTGCAACAGCAAGCAATTCAGGCTTTATTCGATTCGAGCTTCGAGATTGCAGGTATGGCTTCGAACTAGAGGTTGCAGATTTGATGAGTTTGACTGTGTCTAATTCGATGTTGCAGCAGCGGCAGAGTGTTGGCTTCGTAGTTGGTTTGTGCCTTCGGTTTTGGACGTATATTGATGGACAAAAAAATCATATTTTTTTGGTGAAGTCAGTGAGGTTTTTAGGGAGAGTGGAGAGATGCAGGTTCATGGGGAACTCTCTGGGAGTTGACTTTTGCAATGAGTTTGGTGGAAAAGGTTTTAATGGGGGAATATATCTGAATTAATAATAATAAAATACTAATAAAATGATTAAAAAATAACAAAACCTCGTTAGGTAGCAAAAAATCTAATTGAATATATGTTGAATTTCAGAGAATCACTTAAAATCCTAATTGAATACCCATAAGTTCATTAAAAGAAATAAAATCTCTCAAAATTCTAATTAAGTACATCCCGCCGTCCAAACTACGTGTATAGTTGATTACTCTCCCATAATTCACTTGGAGCAAGCTAAATCCATTAGAGTTCATTTAGTTGAGCCTTTAAGAGCCAAGCGAAAGCAATATCATGAACGTACGAAAGGAAGATGAACATGATCGAAGTAGGCTTTTTTCTTTACTTCTTACATCTTATAATTATAGGAAAACTAATGAAAAAAAGTTTGAAAACTTTAAGTTTTAACGATAAGGACAAAATAAAGGGTAAAGTGAATATTACTAGGTTTGACTTTTTAGAGTTTTTCGTTAAAGTGAACAATACCGCGGCTTTTCGTTAAAACTCCCAATTATAATAGCTCTGTGGATCAGCCTTTCGAGCGATGGAATAATATTCCGTTGCTTTCAAGTCTCACGTAACTTTACTAATCATATCCAGCATGAAAGATGTGCTCTAATCTGGCAACCTATTTAATTTTTTCTGCTACTTTATCCATCTAAGTTCTTTTCCACACCTAAAGCTCGTTTGGAAGGGTCAGAATCGTTTATGAGAAAACTAACTTCTGGTAAACTTATTAATAAGTGTTGATGAGTTTTATCACAAAAAACTTTGGTGATATTAGAAGTGAAATCTCTCACATCTTAACTGTATATCTTTTTTCATATTCCCATTGTAGGTTTCTTATTCTCCAACGCCTTCAAATCGGTAAACATCATAAGATGTATTAATTGGAAAAATGACCATCCATAAAACAATAAAAAAAAATTTGTTTTATTGTTGTTAATGTAGAATCTAAATGAATATAATTACTCTCTGTAGTGCTGAGAAAAACCGGTCTCACTTCCATGAGAAGATCTTGCAGATTGATTGGGGCTCGTAACGTCTTGTTCCACATTCGAGAAGTTGGCCTTCCCTGTCAGCATCTTTATTGCTATTTGAGCTACTTCGGCAAACCAGTCGTCCTCCGGCAAAACACTGCCCAAAAGAAATAGTTTTATCGTTAGGGTTACACTGACCAATGCTAATTTACAATGGTGCCATTTGATTCCGAGTCCTTAAAGAGATTCCGAGGTGTCACCTATTGTTTACAACTATGTGCCTATCATTCTCGTCGCAAATAAGATTATGTTCAACTTTTCTCATCAGACGATGTAATTATATAGATAGCCAGTTTGTTTACAATCTTTCTCTTATACATACCTGTATGGATCTATTCCGGTAGCAGTCACTGCATCGATGGCTCGAGCAATGATGTTCTTTATAACTTGATGCAGATTCCGAGAAAGGTACCGGCCTTGCGATGTGAAAAGCAACACAAACTCCATATCCAAATAGAACTGCATACAAATTAAATAAAGAATTGTTCACAAGCGATATTGGGGGAAGGGGGAATCAAACTTTGGACTTAGGTGCGGGGATGAACGCTCTTAGTCAATTAAGCTACTTTTGTTCTCATGTATGTTTATACCTGTTGAAGGCCGAGAGGGCCTAATGGATTTGGCCCTTCAATTTCTGCCCAGAAGTTCTGATCATCTGAAAGCCACAAGATCACAGTCTCAGTCAGTCTCATTAGCAGGATAGTCGCAAACCTTTCCCTCCCTACAAAAATATCCGTTGCAAGGTTCGCCAAGGTTGTCAATTTTGTGAAAAGTTCCTGAAGTATCGGAGATGGGAACCATTCGGGGTCTAGGTTTCCGTCCATGCTGGTGTACATTTGCGCGTTAAGGCGCGTGTCCCCATCTTCAGTGAAGATGAGATCAAGGGCATGTAGTCTGCAGAAGCTGTCTCTCAACTGCTCGACCGAGCGTTGAAGCCTCCTCTTCCATTCCCTGCTAGGTTCCGGGACACGATTTCCCCTGTCCGAAGATCTTTTAGGGGTTTCCATTGGTCTATTAGCCTGCTGACCCTGCTGTAGGGGCAAAAGCTTCATAGCAGCTCGTGGTAGCAGCTCGTCTGCTAGCAATGATGCGTTTGCTAGCAAAGCTAGCTGTTGAGCTTCTGTCTCCGCCATCCTAACAAGTTTATGTCTTGATCCTTCCAAGTTCTCTTCAGTCTCCGCTGAACCAGGCACTGCATTCATCAATATAGTTACATACGAGTTAAACGCTTGTAAAATGCCTTCTAATGCCGGACCATCCAACTGCAGGGTCTCAAGCGGCACCATATCCTCGAGAAGTTCCTAAATCCATTAGATATTATTAGCACAAATTAGTAGTTCAGAAGCTATCTGCATAGTCAAAATTATGCCATTGCCATCTCGTTTTCCTAACGCCGTGATAGTGACAAATTGAATTAAGTTGGAAATCTCAGAAGAAGTACTAAAGTAAAAGTGAGATCAATGATCACCTGAACCATTGAATTGAATCTGTGAGCACTGCTTGAAAGCTTTGGCTGGTTTTGGCTCATAGTAGTAAGAGATGAAGTCGAACCCATAAGGCGTGAGCCTACCGGTGGATAAAGAAGCATCCAATCATCAGCAGCAGCTAATGCAGCACTGCTCTGTTCAATTCTTTTCAAGTTGGAGTACAATGCCTGCTCAAGGACTGGCCTGAAATGTTTCAATAAGACAGGAGAGAGGCACAACCCGCGATCTTCTAATAGCGAACAGTGTCCCAAGCATATATGAACACACTCTGCGGCAACTCTTAGACTCCCGGCAGCTGCTGATGAAGCCAGAACATGCCTTTTTAGGAGCTGAGCAAAAGCCTCGGTCTGTTTGACTGCCCAAGTGACAAGTTCAGATGTATAAGCGGGCTCCTCACTGAAAACTGCCAGGGAGTCACTTGCCGCTTGCGCAATGCTTGAGAAGACCAGTTGAGAAAGCGCAGCGATATATGCTCCGCCATATGAAGTGCTAGATAAGCTAAGACCTTGCATATTAGACTTCAACTTTTGATGGTGAGCATTGAGCAGCAACGTGTGTGAACGGGGACCATCCCCGAGCTTTTTGAGAGCTAGAACAGCTGGGCGAAGCTCAACGATACGCGTGGAAGGTTGACTCATTGTCTCTGCCAGCTGATCCATCAATTTTTGCCTCTGTTCAGTGATGGTAGTCTGCAGTGACAAGAATGCAGCTGAGGTTAATTTATTCCTGTCCTTAGCTTGTTGCACTATGCGTTCACCTTCGTCCAAGGCAGTTAACGCTTCATCCACTCTTCTTTCGGCCAATAGAACCTCGAGGGTGTCCTCGAATTCTCCTGACCAGTTCTCAATCTCAGAAAGTTCCTTACTTTCTACTAATATGTCCTCGTCATTTAAATCTTCGTTGCCAGTGGACAATGAATCAACTCGAGTTCCATCAGATAAACCGTGAACTAAAGTTGCCTGACTAGAGAGGAGATTTCTCATGGAAAGGAGTTGTCCCTCAAGTTCAGTGATTTCCCTCGATGTACTGCAAATGAACCAATACAAACACTTTCATGGTGTAATATGTTATGAAAATTCTAAAGTTCCAATATAAGGGGTGAGGAAATTGAAACCCAATTGCAAGAAGTCGGAAATACCTTCATGATTAAGCAACTGGCCTAATTCACGTTTATTAAAAAATCATCGCCATTACATTCAAAGAAAATTGTGCTCACTCACCGGATAAATGCCGGATAATTAGCGTAAACACTTTTACGCATTTCCTCTGCAGACGCCTTCTTCAGGTCAACAAGGTAAGAGTGGAGGTGCTTTATTTCCTGTCATCATCACCAACCTATAAACTGTAAGACCTTGTTTGTTGTGCTGCAGGATTTGGACTTAGGTGGAACGTGTTCACCGCTACCACAGTGTCCCAAACCACTAATACACTCCATATATACAAATAGTTCCGAATGTCATGGTACCGATGAACCCATTTCATGTAAGTCTATCTCACTAGGCAAATAGTTTCGAAAATAAATTACTGAGAACTAGCTCTAAATTCTTCACCATGCATCACTAAAACTATTAGTGAACACGATTAATTGCATAATTACGAAAATCCCATTTTGTTTTTCCTAATTTGTGAAGATTCCCATGCATTATTTTCATGAAAAATATGAAAATCAAGAGAGGGAGAGAGAGAGATTGGGACCTTCTCACTCATGGTATGACATTTGGTGGTGACGTAGACGTTGGGGTCGAACTGGTTGGTTTTAAAGGCCTTGAGGCGATCTTTGAGCGGAAGATTGCCTTCAAGCTCCCACGAGTCTCCAATGCTCGACGAAATCGATCCGTGTGAAAGATGTGAAATCGTCGTCGAGTCCATTGTTAATTACGATTAATTAATTCTTCTACGACGCTTAATTAAGCTGGAAACAAAATCAATGCGATGATTTCATGATTTGATCGCAGAGTGAGAGAGAGAGGGAGAGATTGAAGTGGGAGGAGGAAGAGGAAAATGAGGGAGACAAAGGCGGGGAAACGATATGCTCATGCTTTGCAACCATTTTACAAACACGTAGGAGGACTCGCTTTGTTTGTTTTAGATCTATCATGACCATCTGTTGGCCTATAAATTGAATCTATCATAGCCGTTTGATCTTCACTTAAATGTTTTAGTTTTTTCATTTTTAAAAGGATGGTGTTATTGACGTATAAAATGATATTTGTACAAGGATTTTTTTTAGTACTAATAACAACACCTCTAATGTCGAGATTGTATATGTTTGAAAGTGTCAAAATGACTAATTGTAAGCGTTGCTAAGAGCGTTTAACAGAAAAATTAAAAAGTACTTGGATTTAATATGAAATTTTAGCGCTTTTTTTTTCTTATTCAAAAGATATCGACGGTGGGGGAATTTCAACGTGATTTTGATAAATGTTCTTTTGGGAAGCATTTTGTAGGTGTTTTTTTTTTTTCAAGTAAGAAATATTTCATTAATTGATATTATTCTAAACAAAGAATAGGGAAATACAAATACATAATTTATTCTTGATAAACATTCTACTTTCCCATGCCATTTATTTCTATATAAACATTTAACCAGGCTAGAAAAAGTATACTTAAATAAGCTTTTTCCCCAAATATAAGCTAGTAAATCAAAGTTCTAAAAACTTTAGAAAAATAATTCCCAAAATATAAAGCTAGCAGCCCATGACTTTACTGGGTTGGAGCAACGGCTTCTCAGTCACGGTCCCATCATTTCCGGCAAGAGCCCGGTACTTATCCTTCCTGGTGAACCCGGTGTATTCATACGAAAGGCTGGCCGCTATAACCCTCTGAATATAATTCGCCACCTCATGGCTCGACTTCCCGGCCCCACACGTCATCTCCGCCGGCAGCTTATTCAAAAAGGTCACCTCGTACGCCGGGCTCGGGTTCATGAAGAAGTAGAACGGGTCCATCCCTTTCCACCCACGTGCGGTGGTCCCGTGGAACATGCTCATTTTGTTGACCATCGCCACCGGGACCAGCTCGTCCGTCAGCTCCGCGAAAAGTGCGGAGAATCTCAGGAGGAAGGGTTCCCGACACGTGGTGCCTTCCGGACAGATTGCCAGGTCACCCTCTTCTAGAAGCTTCTTGATCATGGCGGCGTCGAGGGCCCGGTCGCGGTTGAGGCGGACGGTCTTGATTGGGGAGATGAACTCGGAGAGGCGGGAGACGGAGTAGGTGACGGCGGGAATGGGGCGGCCGAGGGCGGTGGAGAGGAAGATGGGATCGAGGAGGGTGCGGTGGGAGCAGATGAAGAGGACGCCGGTGAGTTTCTTGGGGGCGGGAGGTGGGGTGCCCTTGACTGTGATGCGGACGCCGAGGGCCCAGAAGGCATAGTAGACGAGCGACATGGGGAGGAGTGCCCCGGCTGAGATACGGAGGCAGGCGAGGAAGAAGCCGATGGGGAGCCAGAGGAGGGTGAGGAGCGCCACGAGAGGTGTTGGCTTTTGGACAAGACGGCCGTCGTGGAAGATTATGGGCTTTGGTAGCTTGTCATTTGTTACTGCTTCCACTTCTTGTATTGCTGGCACCATGTAACCCTCCTGCAACAATTTTTCACATTTACATGTTTTAATTAAATTTAGTTAGATGACACTAATAAAATAAAAAATAGAATAATTGTATAAATGTCTTATTGCATGAAATATTTTAGAATATATTAGTGAATTTGCATATATATATATATATATATGATTGAGAGTTAATATTAAAACAAAATAGTATTAATTAAAACGAAAAGTTAGCATGAAAATTGTCGAACCTTGCATAATTTCATGAAAGGAATGTCAGTGTGCCTATCACCAAGCCCAATCTCTGGCTGGACATCTCCAAAAGCCTTCTTAAGAGCATCTGCCTTCTTCTTTCCCACAAGCACACCAGGTGGGGAAACAAACCCAGTAGCCTTACCCTTATAAGTCGCCACTTCCGTCCCCAAAACCGTGTCGAATCCAAGAAAATCCTTCAAGAAAGGCTCCACCATGATCCTCGGATTTGCAGTAAGAATACATCTCTTTTCGCATGCAGAGAGAACGCGCCAAGACTCGGGGTGCAAATCGCTCGAGTAAAACTTAGGCAGCACGGCTCTGGCCACGGACTCGATCTCCGAAACCCTAACGCCGGCAAACGTTGCAAAGATGAGAACTTGGATTCCGGCTGATTCCGAGACAAAGTAGTAGAGGAGTCCGGCTAGTGGTGTAACTAAAAGCAAGAATAGGAGCCTCAGAATCCCACCAACCTCAAAGGCAATAAGAGCAAAGTAAGGGAAGGAGCTTCGGCCTCTAAGCAAAGTCCCGTCCATGTCGGCGACCACCGTGTGCTTATCCCGTCCATCCGATGTGCACTGATCAACCGTCGGGAACTTCGCCATAGTCATACTGTAACAACTTTTTTGTTGTTATAAAGTAAGTTAGAGATAGCGGATATTCGAACTCAAAAACTTTGTCGATACAAAATATGAAAGATGGTTCGAACTATGATTTCAAAAACTAGGGTTTAAACTTTAGAGTACTCTTTAGCTGATTTTGTTTTTTGAAATAAAAGTTGTACATGCTATATATAGAGAGAAGCGCAAAAGTTTATAAACTTTAATGCCAGGGTGTGCATTAAAAGACAGATTTTGCAATGTCATCAGAACAAGAGTGTTGTATGTCATATGTTATTATATAAGTAGAGTGAAATAAGACACGTTTAGAACCATATGACAATGTTTTTTAAACCAATCTTTAGTAAAAATGTAAGTAAATTTTGCAAAAGCACTTGAAGTATTTCTGACCAGAAGCACATAACTAGTATTTTTTGTATGAAGTACTTTAAGTGCTTATGAAACCCATAAACATTTTTTTAAAGCACTTTCAGTAATTTTAAAAAGCACATAGAAATGAGTATTTTTTTTTTCAAAGTGTTCCTCAACTTACGTAATGACATATATAACGTATGTGTTCATATTCTGAGCACACTGAAAAATCTCTCGTATTAAAAGGGACAAATTTGGATTATGATTTAATTAATTTATTAGAACAATGAGAAAAAGGTGGCGTTGATAAGAGGGAACTTGGTTGTGCGCGGCAATTCGCTGCTGTCTTTATTTGTTTCCACCGCCAACTTCTTTGTCTTTGTGTAGTTGCAGACATATTACTACGTATACTGGTTTAAAAGCGAAGTGCGACTTTCTTACCAGATAACTGCTAACGTACATAATCAATTTAATTAATTTTTGGCTACTCAACATTCAACATGTAGTACACGTGACTTAAATCCAAAAAAATAATTTACTCGATTGTGACTCTCATCGATTCATCATTGACATGAATTTTAAGCCAAGGGAACAAATTCAACTTAATTAATTACGTGCATGATGCTGAAAAGTTTTTGGTTGACAAAGTGCAAGTGGTGGTTGATGGACCTGTCACCTGTGAATTCTTATGAGTATTTGAAACTAGTGTTGTTGGTATGTTGTAAATTGTGGAATAGGATCCTCTCCGATGGCATCCATCCGGATCCTTCTTCTTCAAAGTCCGGTCGGCATCATGACTCACTCGGAGCTGGTTATCGGCAAAAGCGTGGGTGTCATCGAAGTTGGCAACGTCGTAACAACGTACTACAACTCGTAGTTTTGAAATTGTGCTATTTTCGAAAAAACTCACAGATTAACTGAAGTCCGCATGGGGCATTGGATTGAAACCGAAAAATGAGAGAAGTAGCAAGGGAATTACCTGGAATTGGGAGAGGAATTCAGTTGGGCGGGTGAGATCCGGATAAGATCATATCCTGTAAATTGTAATAGAGTGCAAGTTGTACAGCCGACTCATAAAAACGCATTGCAATATAAGTGAATTGTAATATCATATGATAGTATAACGGTTATACCAAAAAGAAAAAAAATATTGTGAAGGATTTGCATGGTCCTTATTGGACTTGTATTCCCCAAGACCAAAGCCGGACCAATATTTGACAGTTTGGTTTGAGCAGTTTGGGCCTAATAAGCTTGATTCTTATTTTATCTTTCTTGGCATCTTATCAACCTTGTTAGCCGAAGTGCACGAAAAAATGTCATATAACTTGCGTCATACATAAGTTTATTTCTGAGCAGTTTAGCACAAACTATCATAAAATTCAGCCATTGTCATTCGATTAGTTGGTTCGATCGAATTGGTTCTTTAGAGCATTTACAATCATATTTTCTATTTTTGAGTCAAATTTTAATTAATGACATACCATTACCGCTTTGACTCATTGTCATTCTTAAGAGAGATTTTCAATGTGCAAGGAATATGGTATGGTACACCAAATGTTATAATACAAGTAATTGATACTTAAAAAAAATATTTTCAACCACTTATATTATAACACTTGATGTACCGGACCGTTTTCCTAGTACACTAAAAAAATTTATCTATTCTTTTAGCTCTTACTCTTATCTTTAATTTAGGGTGATACTATCCACACAATCATTGTTACTTTTCCCACGTACTTTATTAATTTATATTATTTGATAATTTTCAATTTATTTAATCCGACGACTGAAATTGAAATGAATGTGAAAAGGATTGATAAAAAAATGTGTGGAAAACATCACTCTTTTTTTGCAAAAAAAAAAAAAAAAAAAAAAAAAAAAGAAGCTGACTTGGCCCCATAAGCAAATTAGTGGACTCTGATGACATAAATTGTCGGTCTCACGGGGATTTGTCCTTTCTCATCTTTTTTTTTTTTTTTTTGTTATTTTCTGTTTATTTTCTTGTTTGTTTTGGAAAGCTTTCACACTCATGGGCGAAAAGAAAATAATTGGAAAGTTCAAACTTTACAGCAAATAATAGCATAATTCAAGCTGTAATAATTTGGTTAATTAATGCATGTGAATGTGATTAGGCTATCTTATTGCTTAATTAATCAAGTGTAATAAAAAAATTTAGCCCCCATGGAATATGATACCTAGAAGGACAAAGACATGCCAAGATGTCGCATTCACGAAAACGATATCGGCCCATCATTTATCATGAATCAAATTCGAGACC